TTAGAAAGATGGGGACTGAAAGACAGGTCATTATTTATTGGCTTTTTGGAGGTTGGATAGTGTGAACCTGATCTCCCTTCAAGGCTCTGTCATATTCTTATTATCTCTTCTCATTGGCAATCTTCTACAGTCCCCCCTTTATACGCTGTTAGCGACGACTGATCCTCCATCCCCTCCCGTGTGATCCCACCTACAAACCTTCCACTCCAAGCCCAAAAGTATGAAGAAATAAGAATCAAATAAACCGTTGACTAACTGGTGACTGAACTGTAAACTGTTATTGTTTCTCTGTGGTCCAAGGTTTTAGAAACTTTTGGCTATTATATATATATGTGCAGAATTTCTCGACGCGTCAAAATAGCATTGAAACTCAAGCTTCATTGTTGCATTCTTTTTAGTAAAGTATGAGAAGACTCCGACGTTTAAAGTTTCTCATTGGCCTTTCATTCCCACTGGTGTTCTTGTCAATGGTAGTGTAACATTTACACCTGGTAAGTTGATGTAGATTGAATATAGGGGCGTTATTATATGATATCAATTTTTATATCTGAATATTGTAAACACTAGGAGGGAGGAGAGGCTTATGAAATTCCAAGGCTTCCAGACGGGGGTTAATCAGAGGAGAAGCTTTTTGGGAATGGGAAGGGGGGTAGGGGATGCACAACAGATATAGCTTATATTGTAAGCTATATCCTTTACTACACAAGGTTCTTTTTTGACGCTTTCTAACTGATACTTACTTCGTATAATTGTGGGTCTTCTTGAAGCGATAATGCAATACGAATTAATCTCGAACGACAAGGTTATTGTCAGGGACAGGGACGATGGTCTATGCATTTCTTCCCCAGATCTGTGCAGCTTACCTGCTGGTGCTAAGTCTTTAAAAGAGAGTGACAAAAAGAGAAAATCAAATCTCTTGTCAAAACCAAATTATCCTGTTAAGCCCACCAAATACGCAGCGCCATGATTTCTTTGGAAAGTTACTCCCCATGAATATAATGGTTTCCAGTCCAGCACTACGTAATCTTCTTTTCAAAATTTTCGTAGGCTCATTTCAATATACGCTGGCTCTCGTGAATTTTTCAGTTGTTTCAAAAGGCATTCTCTCTTAATTACTTTTGTTATCATCACATTGACTGCTCTATGACAGAATAATAATGATGGTGGTGATCATTATCATTACGATTATGGTGATTTTTAGCAATGTGTGTCATGGTTGGATCTGTTCTTTTCTAGGAACAGGCGAGAGTCGTAAATAAATCTATGTGTTTACATTGTACTTTAATTGACACATTGTTCTTTCATTCTATTCTTCAATCTGTTATAGACTTGAAGCTATAAGGGTAAAGTTCAACTTTTTAATTAAAAGAGCGTAATGTTTCTCTGTAGTGAAGTTGTTGGAAAGGTACTCTAGGAGACGAGCATGAGTAAAGACTCAAGAGAAAGACGAGAAGCATGAGGGAAAGTAATTTGCTTAGGCAGGGAGGACATTAAAAGAGTCGTCTTGCAATCGCTGATATTGTAAAACAAAATTTCAAAATCTAACGACAATCATTATAGATAACTCTGCTCAGTAATTTTGAGTAAATTCATGGATTAAATTTTTGAGGTGAGGGAATCAACTCATGAATGAAACAGCGTGGAATCTAAACTAGGCAGCCAAAACAAACAAAACAGCAAACAAAAATGGTAAACTGTAGCAGAAATTACTTAGATTTGATTATCCAAGAGAGCTAGCTAAGAATACGGGAAGGTTTGAACCCCTCCCTACACATAATGTTCCCTTGAAAGTCCGACGGTTCAAACACAGATGTAAATAGAAACACGGGAGGACTAATCTGTGTGATTCAGTTATCTGTTGTGGTGAATTGCATAGCGTATGTAATACCAAGCCATTGACCAAAAAAATTTCTTAACTGAAAAGTTTATTGCACAAAAGCAAATCTCAAAACCAAAAATCTACTTGCCTGTCTTTGCTTTTGCTTACCTGACGCTCAGCTGTTTTCTTTCCGGCTCAGTAAATAATACTTTTAAAGTTCACCGTGTCCTATGTTTCAAGGAAAAAAAAGGAACCTTTCGTGACAAAACATCATCCATATTTGTCGCATAGGGCTGTTTGTTGCTGATAAAATAAAAGCGGAAGGCTCTTCACTTTTCAGTGATTTGCTTTGGTACATAGCATAGCTTACTTAGGACTCGGTGGTGTGTGCTGATTGGAAAGGAAAAGAGAGAAAGTGGAATTTTCAATTCACCGGAAAACTCCATGAAATATGAATAGTGCCAGTGATGTTCGGCGTTCACTATATGTCGTCATTTCACAATGTCTCAGTGCAGTTAATGACAGCTGCAAAGTTATTATTGCCGACCCGTTAAAAAGTCAATTCCTTGTCAAAAGGAAAACTAAGTAACATTTCTTTACCGAGCTTAACTTTCCATACACGACATTTAAGACTTGTGATAAGTGCATGCTGTGGTCTATTCTCTACTTTTATCGCACTATTCACATGAGTGGGGTAATATTTTATTCCTATCATAAAGTGTGTGACAAATAAAACGCTTTTGATTCCGCCCGTTCCCCATGGGAATGAGAGCGATCAAACTCTTGTAGACTAAATTTTTTTTAAAATCCTATTCATAATAAGTCATTTCAGAAAAAAACTTTTACGATAGCTTCAGCAAGAAAACACTTTTTATTCTCCACTTTCTTCCCTTTTTTCTTCGTATCCATAACCTATAGTGTTTTCTCTGCTTGTCTCTTTTCTTAAGCTCTAAATGGTGAAATTTCAGTCTTAAAACCTGGAACAAAAGGAAGAAAGCGAGTGGCACTACAGTGAATAGAATATAAGAACACTTTTAGTCCACCGATCGTTAACCATTGGACTAAATTCCTGTTAACTGCTTTTGTATTGTAAGTATGATCACGACTGTCCCTCAAGAACAACTGTTTGGAATTCAAATAAGGACAGAAATCATCCAGAACTGACTTAGTTTGCTTACTTTGTGTGTTAAGAGTAACTTGGAAAAGCCCGAAGCGATCCACATGTTGTGTGTATAAACTTGCACAAAAATCGATAAAAAAGGAATATTCTATGAAAGGTAAACTCTCAGGAACTACGACATCTCGATGCATGCATTTACCTTTGACTTCGAACGGGACCGGACATAAATTCGGTAACAAAAAGAGCTGTTAAATTTTCATCGTGTGTGCATGCATTCATGCATGTTTTCTTTCCTTTCGGTCAAAATCTCGAATAAAGTTTAACTTCAGAGTTTTCTTTATCTTAGCTATATCAGCCAATTTATCCTTTCTATCAATAGACGCGAATATAAAATTGTTGTCACTGTAAAACTTTTTAGGCTTATGCTGAGCATAAAACATACTGTTAAACAATATGGCAGCTCCATTCCGCAATTAATTATCGCTGACGTTTTCTATATCAGCGTAGATAGCAAAATAACTTCATCAGTTGCATACATCGCGATATCATATAAACTCCACCGATGAAAACAAAAACACCTTGCCTAGACTCAACCCTCTCTCAAGAGCTGCCAGCTTCAAGCTATTACCAACACTACATGATTATGTCCTCGCCATCTGCGTTGTCAATCCCCTGCTAGTAGTCTTAGCCATGCTGGGGGCATGGCCACTTGCTGGTAGTTATTCCCAAATTCTCTGCTCTCCGAACTGTCTTTAACATATGTATTTTCTCGTTGCTCTTAGCGACAGTTTGGTCGGTTTAGTTTTCCAAATAGCATTTTTTGTTTACATTGCTGGCAAAATCAAACTGGTTTTCTACTGCAGTGCTCTCGTTTTCTTATCTTCAATGTTATTTACAGAGCATTGAAGGTATAAAACGACGAATGACGATTTTTTTCTCCAATTAATTCCAGTTTCATTGGATTTAGCCATGTGTTAGATACGGCATTACCTTTCAAGATATCTAAGATAATAAGGTGTCACGAATGACAAATTCACACGCACAAAATAAAGTGAACATGGAGATTCACGCGGGCGACAACAACAGCCAAAAATAAATTGGACGCAACAGCCGCAAACGTTGAACACACGCGAGACGCTTGAGTGCTTTGTAATTCGTTACTCATGACAACCTCCCTGATTGATATCGTGATTGAAAATGATGCATTGTATTATTATCTGTTGCACCCTCTGGCCGAGACTGTGACATTCCTCAATTCATCCCGAGTCTCTTTTCTTTACAGCTGGCGATGTAAAGACATAGGGCAAAAATCTGGCTCGTTGTTAAAGGAGCAAAATATTTAACCTCCACTAGGTTTATCAGTCAACGAGGGAATGGACAGAAAATATTCACCAGACACAGTTACTTAAAGACAGAGAAAGAATACGCCTGGATCTGCAAACTTAAAAATCTGCCACCGAATGAGCTTCTTTAAAGCAAAATATTGAACCAGACCTAGAGACCGTTAGCAGCTATCAACAAATTTAGTCACGCCAGAAGAACAAAAAAAAATCGAAATGAGAGATTTGTACAAGTATTTAACGTTTAGAAATGGAAGTTCTTTGTCCAAACACTGATCTAAAATTGAATCTTTTAAAATCAGTTTTAAAAAAGAACAGACTCGTGGTGTGAGACTCGTGGTATGAGGCTGAATATCTCAGAACTAACAAAAAAAAAAAAAAAAAAAAAAAAAAAAAGCAAAGCCGAGTGTATTTCATATAAATGGTACAGTCCGGTCTTTGTCCAAATTTAAGGTGATACGCCATTTGAAGTTTTAATTATATGCTTCAAACGAATAAAGGTTTGACTTTATATAAAAAAAAAAAAAATTCAAACGAGCAATTAGTTCAGTAGCCATTACGTCGGCAAACTGATAGAAAGTGTGCTTTATTGCTTAAATATATATAGAGCGTCAAAGTCATATATGCTCGAAGGTGCTAGGGATCCTACTTCTTAACTAACCAAAAAAAATTTTTTTACACAAAAATAACCTTGATATAATTTTCAACGTTTTTTGTCGCACTTAAAATCTGAGATCAAAAACATTATGCATTACATTTTGAAGAACACAGCCTTTGCGGGAGTCGCTAGTGCCTTTAGTTGCAATGAAATGTCACCCAGAAGTCTCACAACAGCCAGAGAGATTTCAACGAAAGCTCTAGGCGTTTAAGCCACCTAGAGCAAGATATTCATGAGGCATAGTCAAAAAGTTCTAAGACAAATATTTCGGGGAAGTTCTTCAGTTGCTTTCTTCAATCAAGTGTGAACGTTCCTCGGGTGTTCCTGTTCTTGTGACCACTCTATTCTTGAGACGTGATACTCCCTGACGAAGGAAGCTGAAACATCGGATCGGGTTGAAGGTAACGTACTGCCAAATTGACTTCACATGTAGAATTCCGTTTCCTATGAAGTAGAAAAAAAAAGACGGAGTTCATCATTTATACATGTACTTGAAATCTTACTCGAAAGCGTTAAAAACGATAAGGTGTCCCTTTTTCTGAAATTTGTCTTTATTTTTGCTCTTGCTAAGAAGCGTTTTGAGAATGAGTGTTGACATTTCGTTCACAAAACAATTTGGATTTTTCCCTAAGATCGCAACAACTCTATTAGTTTTCTGTATTCTACTAATACTCTCTAATGTTGGAATACTACATGAGATTAATAAAGAAAATAACTCAAATTCTCCCTCCTTGGCAGCTTCCATAGGTGTAATTTTGTAAACTACATCCTAAAAACCTGTCAGGATTACAAGGTCTCAAAATTCCACTTACAGGAAGAGTTAACCTGCGAGAAGAATTGATCAAACATCGCGATCTGCCTTAAGATTACTACTGTATGAGCCAGTGTTATAGAGCGTCAAATATCCAAAATAACCTGGATAAGGCTAATTTATGATTTTATCACAATTATATCATAATTGCGCGGAAAACGAAAAAACTTGGGGATTGAGAAAACCACCACAATCCATCAAAATTAAGGTCCTTTCCTTGATTTATTTGGCAAATGACTAAAATGCACATCGAATAAAACAGAGCAGCATTTTGACTTACCAATGGCAAGCAACAATACAGAGGCGTTAAGGACCACGAACACGACATTTACAAAGGTGGAATCGTTCTTGCCTTCTCCTTGACTCTCATCCCAGTTTGTGTAAACTGCACCAAGACAAACGTCAAAGAAAATTATCCAAAGAACAAATGTTTGTAAGCAATCTTCAAACTTGTCCTTGATTGGTCGGAATAAGGTGTAGACCACTCCAAAGACGCTGACTGTCAGAACTGTGAGACCGATTTGAGAAAGGCTCTTTGATCCAAAAAGAAAAATCAATGAGGTTAAAATGAGCTTGCGATACATCTCTGTGATTTCCCAGAACCAAAATTCATTCTTGTAGTTTTCAAAGAACACTCTGAGTCCGAAAGAAATGGCTTCGTATTCCTGGGATTCACGATATTTGTAGGTGAGAAACAGAACCAGAAGTGGAAATCCCACGGGATATAATGCCAAAATAGAAGCCATGAGCCAAAACAACCTGTGGCGATGAGTGAAACACTTGATGGAGTAATCAGCTCTCAGTAGGGAGATACAGTCGTTCTTTTTGTCTGTGAAACATGTTTCTATACAAGCACCGGGAAGAGGTAGAATCTGAATTATCGATTTGCTCGTCGTGGGGTAGGTCGTCAACAATAATAGGAAAATGTTCCGATAGCAAGATTTTTTCAAACTCTTAACTTTCGTTACTTTCCGGTCTTCACCAAGGTCCTTCTTATTCATGATGTAGCGTTTTTTAAGAAATAAATATAAGAAAATCAAGCCAATGAGTAAGACATTCATGACAACAATCATCGTGAACTTTCCAAGCTCATCAAGCCGTAGAGAAGTATGAATGCAACTAAGAGGGGCAAACTGCAAGATGTTCCCTTCAAACACTTTTAGAACCTTCTCCGTTGAGATCAAAACGACTGGCCATTGAACTTTAGCCAATGCCGAGAAAATACCGGCAATGACTTGATAAAAACCAATCACAATCTTAAAGCACGACATGACGACATCTGCAACTGTCCGGTTATTGTCTGCACGTTTGGAGTCACCCCAAAGAACCATTAGAAACACAGCAACAAAAAGAACAATTACCAAGATGGATGAAGATATTGTTACAGCTAACCGGGGACATTTCAAACAAGAGTTGAAGCGAAAATAGAAGCTTTCAGAGCAGGTTGCACACAAATTCCCTTGATATCCTTGATGGCAATCTGAATCAATTCCACCCTTGCAGGACTTTGCATGGGGACATTTGAGTGGCTTCGGAAGTGAAGCATCGAACGTGGAATATGACTTGTCGTAGTGTGGTCCAAAAGAATGAATATTGTTAACAAAACCCTTGAAATGTTCTTTTTTAGAATGGTCTGTCCATTTCCAGAAGTAGTTAGGAGCAAGTATTGCTGTATCTTTCTCACAAACAAAACCGTTTGGCGGACATGCTGTGCACGGGCCAAAGCGATCCAACCGATAGAAGTTGCGTAGGCATCTGCATGCACGGTGTTCGGCAGTCTCGTCAGAAAGCGTACCTGAAAAAGAATGGTTCATTTTTAAGCAATCACTTCGCTAAATGTCGAACCCTATCTATAGAAACAACAAAACATTGACAGAAGGGCTTTTCCACGAACGCATTTTCTCTTTTCTCTGCGTTTGCACATGATATCACTTGTGAATTGAATGACTATTATCTTCCAAATAAGACATATTTGGATTCCCCTCTGAACAAACAATCAAACGAGTACTCTCGGCTTATGCAGTCCAAGATGGATCCTCCGGATAATCCATTTTAGATGAGTGTGTTTTGTGTATTGAACTAAAAGTGGTGATGGAGCTTGCCAAAGGTTGAATCAATCGCTTCGCATTATTCGTAAGCGCATTTGAACTGGAAAAAAGGTGCAGTTCACCCAAAGCAAACACAAAAGTTACCGTATGGACATGCCACGCAGTCGGCAGCTGTAGTCCCAGGACTTCGCTGTTCAGAAACAAATGTACCAATGCTGCATCTTTTGCAATCATCTTGTCCCATTTCATCCTGATAAAAACCCCCTGTGAAGATATCATAGAACATGGATACGGTTCTGCGGGTGGATTGTGTGAGCATTTAAAGGAGAATCAACTATTACATTGAATTATCAAAATTATGGTTTGTTTCTAATTCACTTGTGATAAAAGAAGTATACCCTAGAGTAAGCTATATCACAGTATACCAGCACCGTTTAATTGCCTAAGACATCTCCAAAGTTAAAAAGATACATAAAGGAAAAGAATAACGACTCCATCAAAATTCAATCGCGTGCCCCAAAGCAAAGGAAACATGGATGATCAAGAATTTAGGTGGCATCTGATAAGTCGTTTCTCGACTGGTCAGTCGTTTCTCGATTGGTCAGTTTTTTTCTTGTTAAACTAAATTTACGCATTAATAATAATCGCACTAAAATTCGTCTAATCAGTTATTTCTTTTTGTACTTTGGCTCAGTAAGGGAATAACGATGCAAGTAGAAGCCGGGTTTCGTTCCATCCAACACATATCTTTAACAGCTGAAGCCACCACCGGTGACCGTCTAGCCA